ATATATATTATATATATATATATATATTGCTGTGTGTGTATTGTTGTATATGTATGTATGCAAAAAGAGGGAGATTCGTCAAAGAAAGAAAAAGAAGAAATAAATAAATCTTTTATTGATTTCCCTTCTTTATCTCTTGCACAATCAGAATCCTTCACGGTATATCATATACACAATATATATATTAGGGTTTAGGGTTTAGAGTTTAAAGGGTTTAGAGGGTTCTGTAGGGTTTAGGGTTTATAGAATTTATAGGGTTTATAAATAAATGGAGTTTATATGGCTTATAGGGTCTCTAAGGGTTTAGGGTTTAGGGTTTAGGGTTTATTTGTTTAGGTATCTCCTGGTGGTAATAAGAAACAAAATTGTGTTATTGTTGCAACAATTAAAGGAGAAAGGGTTTTCCTTGTTGGAGGCAGCGATGGTGTCCTTAGGTATAATATATATACTTTGCTGCTGTTGCTGCTGCTGCTGCTGCTGTTGCTGCTGCTGTTGCTGCTGCTCCATAAGATACCTTATATGAGTAGGATTTAGGATATTTGATGTTTTTTAGGGTTTGATGCTTTTTAGGGGTTTTAGGGCTTCTAGGGCTTTTAGGGTTTAGGGTTTAGGGTTTAGGGTTTATGCATTCAGGATGTTTTCGCGTACGGGTGTATTAAAATGGCAGCAGCAACTAACAGACGAAGAAGGAGGAATTCAACATTTAGCTCATCAAGGAAGTTATACTGTCTTTGCAAGTGAGACGGTTTAGGGTTTAGGGTTTAGGGTTTAGGGTTTAGGGTTTGGGGTTTATTAGACTTTTGTTGCAGTAGGGTTTAGGGTTTAGGGATCAAAACCCTAAACCCTTTTAAATTAGTAAAAGTGCTGTGTATGACACCTCAGTATTATCCCTTCTTATACCACTAAAAGATTAAACCCTAAACCCTAAACCCTAAACCCTTTTTTTTTTTGCTTCAGCAAGACGTTGTGTTGGACACGTGGATCCGACGGCTTCATCGGCAACAGGAAGAATTTCTTGTCTTGGCGTAAGAAATATAAATATTAAATATTTATTTATTATTTATTTATTTATTTATTTATATTTATTTATTTATTTATTTGTTTATATTTATTTATTTATTTATTTATTTATTTATAGTTATTATCCCCTATAACATCAATAGGGTTAGACATAAAGAAGAGCGGCAAAGGAGCGATTAGTTTATTAGATGGCCAAGTCCTCTATATTGAATTAAAAACCCTCTCCTGTAAACCCTAAACCCTAAACCCTAAACCCTAAACCCTAAACCCTTTTTTTTCTAAACCCTAAACCCTAAAATATTTTATTTACTTTTCTCCTTTTTTTCTCCATTTTTGTCTCCTTTTGTTTGTCTTTTTTCTTCTTTGTTATATACCCTAGAATTGCACTGCTGCTGCTTCCTGCTGTTGCTGCTTGCTGCTGTTGCTGCTGCTGCTGCAGTGCTGCATAAATTTCCTGCTGTAATAAAGGGACCATCTAAGGTTGTCTTTGCTAAGGAAAAACTTCTTCTTATTCCTATGGCTAGCAGCAGCTCTCCTGCTGCTGCTGCTGCTGCTGCATCAGCAGCAGCAGCAAACCCGACACAGCCACAGGTCAGACGCCGATGCTGCTGCTGTTGCTGTTGCTGTTGCTGCTGCTGCTGCGTGCTGCTGTGGCGGTGGTCATAATGCTCCCTCCTATATGCCTTACTGCTGCTGCTGCTGCTGCTGCTACTGTTGCTGCTGCTGCTGCAGGGCATGGTAGTGTTAAACATTGCTGCAGTAGATCATCCTGAGGGTTTATCGTCTCCCTCTGTTTTATTTTTCCCTTTGCCTCATCCTGTAAGGAATATATAATTAGGGTTTAGGGTTTAGGGTTTAGGGTTTAGGGTTTGTGTTTTATTTACTTATTGCTCTCTCTTGCTGAATTTGCTTTATCTGCTGTTGCATATGCTGCATCTGTATCTGCTGCTTCATTTGCTGCTGTTGGTGCTGCTGCTGCTGCTGCTGCTGCTGCTGCTGCTGTTGCTGCTGCTGTTTGCAGGTTGCAGCTTTTAGTGTATTACGTCGTACAGCAGACACAACACTATTAGCTATCTATACACAAGGAAAGTTATTAATTAATTAATTAATTAATTAATTGTTGTATCCTTCTTCTTATCTGTCTCTTTATCTGTCTCCTCTATTGTCTCGCAACTGCGTGCATGCATGCATGCATGCATGCATATTTTGGGGCTTTTTTTATTTTTCCTTTTTTATTTGTGTAGGTAGCATGTATATAAATATATATGAATTAATAAACAAAGAACAACAAATATTTAATGAGGAATCATGGACACATCTTAGATTACCTCTGTAAGTATGCATGCATGCATGCATGCATGCATGCATGCATGAATGCGTGCATGCATGCATGCTGCTGCTGCTGTTGCTGTTGCTGTTGTTGCGGTGTTCGGTGTCTCCTCGTGCTGCTGCTGCTGCTGTTGTGTCTCTTATTATATATCTGCTATCTGTACTAATATTTCTTTTTCTCCTCCTCCTCCTGCTGCTGCTATTGCTGCTGCTGCTGCTATTGCTGCTGCTGCTGCTGCTGCTGCTGCTGCAGGATGATAGTAACAATAATAATAGCAGTAGCAGCACAAGTGTATAGATCACGTAAAAGAGACAAAAGATCAACAAAAGAGACAAATGTAAGTATATATACATAAACTGTCTCCTTTTTTTTCTTATTTATTTATTTACTGTCTCTTTATTTATTTATTTGTTTATTTATTTATTTACTGTCTCCTTTTTATTTGTCTCCCTTTTTTATTTATTTATTTACTGTCTCTTTTTTTATTTATTTACTGTCCCCTTTCTATTTGTCTCTTTTATAAGTGTCTCCTTCTACCCTGGCTCTGCAGCCGCAGCCCTAGCTGCTGCTGCTGCTGCTGCTGCTGCTGCTGCATGCATGCATGCATGCATGCATGCATTGTGTGTTGATTTGCATGCAGGCGGATATGGATGATGTGTGGGGTGAGAGATTGATGGCAGAGCGTAAGGCATTGCAGCTGCTGAAGCAGCAGCAGCAGCAGCAGCAGCAGCAGCAGCAGCAGCAGCAATTGCTAATGCATGGAGGGTATGGGGAACCACCCAGGTGTACAGACAGCGAAGAAGAATCTTCTTCTTGTGAAACTTCCGAGAGATTCTAACCACCATTTATTTTTAGGGTTTAGGGTTTAGGGTTTAGGGTTTATACACACATACATATATGGAGGTAACAGGAGGGTTTAGGGTTTAGGGTTTAGGGTTTACATACCCATATAGAGGCAATAGGAGAGTTTAGGGTTTAGGGTTTAGGGTTTAGGGTTTAGGGTTTAGGCTAAACAAGGGCGTATTAACGTTTACGTGCGAAGCGCATGCAGCAGATGGCTGTGCGTGCATGCATGCATGCACTTATTATCTATAAAATAAATAATATATATTATATATTATATATAATATATATTATATATGTGGGGTCTACAAGCGTATATTTCTGCTGCTGCTGCTGCTGAAGCTGCTGCTGCTGCTGCTGCTGCTGAAGTTGCTGCTGCTGCTGCTGAAGTTGCTGCTGCTGCTGAGATGCAGCTCTCTGTCTGTTCTTCCCTTTGTTTATCTTTATACAAAAATGTATATAATATATATACATATACATACATATGTAAATATATATTTATACATATATATACATATATATTTATTTATATGTATTTATTTATATATGCTGTATAGACACACATACATGCATGCATGTATTTGCATGCATAATTAAGTGTACAAAGAATTATATTATAAGGGGATAATATAAAAAGGTGGAGAGACAGTCCCTCTTTCCTCTAGCTGCAGCAAACTTAGATTAATTATTAACACTTGCTGCTGTTGCTGCTGCTGCTGCTGTTGTTGCTGCTGCTGGAGGTGCTGTCGGCGGCGGGGGAGTTACTGCAGCAGCGAGGAGGGAATCTACTATAAAATTATGTGTTATTAATTAAATATTTAAATAAAATTAAATAATTTATTTAATTTTAATTAAATTAAATAAAAAAAGGAAGAAAAATAAAGAAGAATAAGGGGCCTAATCTACATAATGCATGCATGCATATTATGCATGCATGCGCATGCATGCATTGGTCCTCTTTGCTGCGCTGCAGGAAGGCAAATGGTGCATTTTCTGTGTATATTTAATTAATAAAAAGAATAAAATAAATAAAAATAAATAAATAAAAGAAGAAAATTAAATATATAATATAAAATATAAAGAAGGGAGCTCGCGGTTATCCCTATCTGCGGTGTATCTATACATACAGTATAGATATTTGCTGGCTTCTCTGTTGGCAACAATTTTCCTTTCTTTTTTCTTTTTTTTTCTTTTATTTTTTATATTTTGTCTATTTTTATCTTTTTCTTTGTCATAAAGTATATTTAATGCATTAAAATGGCTCCTAATGATGGCAGCAGCAGCTCTTCCTGTGCTGCTGATACAGCAGCAACAGGCCGTCATGATGATGAACAGCATCAGCAGCATCAGCAGGAGCAGCAGCAGCAACAGCAACAGCAGCAGCAGCAGCAAACAGGAGAAGAAAATACAATAAATAATAATATATTATCAATAATATTGAATAAAACTCCTTTTTTATCAACAGGAATAGATTATTTGTGGGGTTATTGTAGTGCATGCATGCATGCAGTGTATACACCATTGAGGTGTATAGGCAGCTCTAATTATATGTATGCAGGAGAAATAACTGGTGGTCTTTTCTTTGGTTATGCAGCAGGTATTTCCCTAAAAAAAACTATACGTGCTGGTCTATTTGCTGCAGGTCTTAGCTTCCTTGCTCTACAGGTAATTAATTATATTTATATTATTATATAATAATAATAATAAACCCTAAACCCTAAACCCTTTTTTTTTCCTTTTCTTTTATATAATTATATTTTTACTTATATGTGTATATTTATCTGTATGTTGTTGTTTCTGCTGCTGCTGTTGCTGCTGCTGTTGCTGCTGCTGCTGCTGCTGTTGTGTATGTATGTAATTTACGTTTATATATATTTTTATGTATTTGTTTATATGTATATTATACATAATATATTATTATATATTATTATTATTATATTTATTATACATTAATTAAATATAATTATACAATATACAATAAAATAAATTAAATAAATAAATAAATAAATAAATAAATAAATAAATATATACGTATAAAGTACGTAAATATACGTATATATTTATATATATATGTATATGTATATGTATATATTGTGTATATGTATACAGACATTATCTTATAACGGATATTTACGTAAATCTCCTTATGAATTAATAAATAATACAATAAATATAAATAATATAAATATAAATAATATAAATAAATTAATTAATATAAATAAAATAAATAAAAAAATAAATAATATAAAAAATAATATTAATATACAAGATGTTGCTCCCTCTACTGCTGGATTCTCTATAGGTATGGCATGGGCACTACTTAGATAAATAAATAAATAAATAAATTAATTAATTATTTATTTATTTATTTATTTATTTATTTATTTGTTTATATTTATATTTATATAAATAATAAAAAAGGTTAAGAAAAAAAGAATAAATAAAAAAAAAAGGTTAAATAAAAAAAAATAAAAAAAAAAATATTTAGGCTGCTGAGCTGCATGCAGCAGCAGCAGCAACAGCAGCAGCAACAGCAGCAGCAGCAGCAACAGCAGCAA